ATAGAAGCGTGATTCACATCTCACGTTAGCGCGGAGTTTCTTCTCTCTTCAGATTATCTTTTCTTTTTTAAACGCACGTACGTGCCGCGTAGCCCAGCTTACTCAACTTATATACGATATTTTCACGTTCGTACCTTTTTGCCGACAGTGCCGCCTGATATTCTGGACTATGACACCAGCACGGACATGGTGGTGATGGAGGGACGAAACGTGACTCTGCGTTGCGCTGCGACCGGTTCCCCGGCGCCCAACATCACCTGGCGGCGCGAGGACGGTCAGCAAATTCAGCTCGGCAACGGAGAGGAAGGTGAGTTTTAACGAGCTGCCCGCGAACGAGCGATAATTCGCAGTCAGGCCCGGGTGATAAAATCGGAGAAAATTTCGCTGAATTAAGATGACTCGCTCTCTCTGTCGCGCCTCCTCTCGTCGCGCTCCTCCATCTCCTTTTCGTCGCGACGGATGCTTCGTTTACGACGAGAGCTAATCGAATACGACGAGCGGAAGACGCTACGTTTGATACTCGGCGGAGTGCCCTCGACGATCGTTCGCGATGCGGTCCTTTTCCGGATTGCGCTTTTAACTTCTCCCGCCTCCCCCCCTCCCTTCCCTCTTCCGCTCCTTTTAAATGTCTTCTCTCGTCGCGAAATGTATTTTATGTGTCATTAGCTCCACGCCGGACAATCACGAAATTTCTGCGCTCCGCCTTTGCCATGGAAAATTATAGGGTTTAATTTTTCCCTTCGGTCTTTTATAAACTTTTTTACTCTATTTGACTTTAAAAGTTCTCTGTCTTAACAACATCTTATTACTTATTTAACTTTACTTGTTTTAAACTGTAATTATCTGCTGATCTTTTTTAATATTAATTTTTTTGCCTTTTATGAACATTATTATCATTATACTGATTAATTTTAATTCTGTAAATATTTGTTCTGTCTGTGCTTCTTTAATTTTATACATCTATTTACGGGCTATTTTTGAACCGACTTAATATACATTGCTTTGCAATCACAATATGAATGACATATTTTTTTTACGTTTTTGACCTACTAAAACTTATGTAAAATTTATATGTGGTATAAAATATTTTTACTGCATGTCCATTTTGTATTTATGTTAAAACCGATACTTGTTAAAATTTTTGTATTGAATTTTTAACATATATCCAAGTGTTCATTTAAAATAATGTCATAGTTATTCGAATATTTTTTGTTAAATTGATATTCAATATTTCGAATATTTGGTATTAAATATATTCAACACTTCTTAAAGTAACATAATTTATGAATAAATAAACAAATAACAAAATAATGTATGTTGAAATATAAGTTTTAAAATAAATGAATAAAATGTATTAATTTAACATATTACATATGTTAAATTTTCGGAAATATGCTTCTATAATTTGTTTATAGTGCTACATTTTTGCATTAACTTTTACATATAATATTTGTGTTACTTCTCTATAATATATTTATTTTATATTAAATTAACGCACAAATTTCATGGGCCGTTTCGAATATAATGTAAAATTTATTAAATTCGATACTAATTTTCCAACTGCGTATGCCATTTTTCATTAAAAATGATTCGAAAAAAAAATTCAAAACGTTCGGATATATTTTTTTCTTAATTTTTAAATAATAAAATTATATTGCATTCGTGCGCACCAGCTACAAAGCTTGACACTCACTTGTCCTTATTGTCCTATTATTGTATCAAACTTTTTAAGTTTTTACATTATATTTCCTCTCCACTGTACGTCGGCTTTTACTGATATTTCCGTTATGAAAACGTTGATTTCGCCTGTTTCTTTTCCTTTTTTACCTATGGTGCTGCGAATTCACGTAATACGTAAGCACACGGAGGTAGAACTTTGCTTATGAAGTTTGTAACTTTCATAGCTGACTTGCAAAAACCGTTATGTACGATGCTTTTTAAAATAATATAATTTCGTCTGATAAACGTTTGAAAAAGCGCGGACGAGCTTTAAATATTTACAAATTTAACATCGTCCAGATTATTTCTCGTCCCTGAAAGATAAATGAGCGCGTCCGGCTTTCGGAAGATATCATTGGGAGAATCGTACGGATTCGACTCGCGAACCCGAGCAGCTCGAATCGAGTAAATACCCCTCTAACGTTCCTAAACGCGGCGGCAACGCGCCAAAAGCTCCGCTCCGTTACGCGCTCATGGCTGTAAAGGCATCGCCTGAAAAAAGATTTACGCTCCGCGGCGGCGGAAATACATTCGGGCTAAACTGCGCGAGTGCATTCGAGCCGTATCAAGCCTGGGGCCGCTCAGCATTGCACCGCGGCGGTCGTTCGAGAGCGCAAACACACCGCGTGGCAAGGCCAATAGGTTAGAGCGAGGTGATACGTTTGCAGAGACCGAGGAAGATCTTCTATATTTGCATTGAAATTGGCAAACACACGGCGAGCGCGCGATACGGTGACTTCGGTGCATATAGGCGTGCATGCGCGGTCGTAGTCGTATGTATGGGCGCGAGAGGGGCGATAAACAACTGGACCAAACTTAAACCGCGATTACGCTATCCATAGTTTCGCTATTACGCCGTTAATCGGATAAAGTACCGAGAAGGGAGACCAACGATGTTTCGATCGTGATGGGTCGCCAGCTTATTCGTTCGGGGCACTACATCGGCGCAGCGTGGCGATCTCTCGAAAGAATATTCCCGCGTAATAGTTTTTCCAAGGGGTCACTGCAGACTAGGATTACCGCCTAGACAATTGTTCTGATCCTGAGACAATAAAGAAAAGAAACGAGATAGTAGATCCAGTAATTAGTATAAAAATCATCAAAAAAAAATCATAAAATCTAATAATATTGTAAGACTAAAAATGATTAAAAGTGACCAGACAAATAAAAGATAAAATAAAATTCTGGCAATTACTAAACCAAAAATAGATAAATTATATGTATATACAATAATATATTTAAGAATATTTTATTATATACATGTAAACGTTAGTTAGGACATTACTTGTTTATTATTTATATTTTTAATAACATTGAAAATGACCTAATTTTTCGAAACATCTATTTTATGTTTTAATATTAAATTATATTATTTAGATAGACACTATTTAATATTAGCAACTAACAACCATCTTTTTGACTCTTAGCCCTTGATATCTTTGAAATTGTTTCAATCGAGCTTTATGTATATTAATTTAATATAGATATAATTTATATATTTTTTTATTATAAATTATTAAAATTTTATTGTGTGTGTTTCTTAACTTTTTATTTAATTATTTTATATTTTGTAATATTTTTGAATTATTATATTTTGATAACTATGTACATATTTATATACACGAAAGAATAATTTTGATGAAGTACTTAAAGATTTAATTAGATACAGATCTGAAAATAATTTTGTTGCACTATCAAAATAATTATGTTTGACATTCTAGCAGCTAACTCGAGCATCCTGTAACAAAATTATCCCTAACATAATTATTTTAATAGTCAAACAAAATTATGATTTATGGAGTGAGTCATTAAAGTATGTTTTAAAATTTCATGAGCGTGTTCTTGCAAATAGAAAAAGAGAATATGGAATGCTAATGTTTATGAATGAATATGCCAATCATGTGCATACATTGTGCTCAAGCACGATGGAAAATGATACAGAACACTTTGATAATCTGTTATGAACAAAAAGAAGTATCCACCTAAAACTTTTTGCGAAATAAAAAAGTTTTTGATGTAATTGTTTATTGTCATTATTTGATGTAATTGTATAACATTCACTTTTTCATTTTATTCAGAAATACGCTGAACTAAAATATACTTATAACTCATTCTGCATATATGCATGTGTGTGTTTTACTAACATCATGGTCGTCCTGAAAAGGACGGTTGTATATGCAAATGAGAGATGATCCTGTCAGATTAATTTGTGTCGGATCTGGTTCTCCCTCTAGATTTGGCAACTGGTGTTCAGTCGCTAATTGTAAGTGTTGTACAGTCGCTTGTTCACCTCTTCGTCGTCCCTGGTGATTTCGCTCTCAGAATCAGAATGCCCGTACTATCGTCGACATTGCCTCATGCGTCGTAGTCGGCGCTGAGTAAGGCTCCGCAGTGATAAACGCAGAGCTGAAGTAGTAACAGAAGAGCGGTCCGTCTGCTGCGTCTGTATGGACCGATTGATTGTTTGCGATCCTGCTTGGATAGTTCGATGAATCTGTATGATTGGCTCCGTCTGTACAGACCGATCGGTATTGTTTGCGGTAGTACCAAAATGCCTCGGTGAATCGGTATATTTGGCAGCGTGCCTCTCTCGTGAGGTGGTGGTGAAGCCAGAGAAAGAATTCGAAGCGCCGATCGGGAAAAACTCGAAATCCCCTGAGGGTTCCGTTGCAGGCTTCCATGTGGCATTCTCATATTGCCGGGTTCCGCAGGTGACTTCTTAAACTTGGGTTTCGCAGACATTGATAAGCTGGATACCGCAGACTTCTCGTCGGAAATTGCAAGCAACGAAGATTTTTGTCGGATAAATCAGGATCGCTCCTCGTCCTTCCTCTGTCCTGTAAGTGGTCGAGGCGAAGCGGCCTTCTTGAAGACGTAAATTGATTAGATTGCTCTTCGAAATTATGCTGCGGCTGTCCTTTGCATCAGAAACGAAAACGGATGAATGCCGTTGTTACAGCGAGCTCGCGAGTTTTTATCTAAATCCATGTCGGATTTGACTTACGAGTTCAATCGCTATCTAGTGATGAGTGGCGAATCAATTGCAAATTGATTGCCATTCGTCAGGCGTTTGAAAGTAGTTGCTTAAACTTTACACTGCTTCTGCAACGACAATAGCCATAATATACGTATATAATAATTACAAAATAAAAATACAAATTGATATTATTCTTGCTTTATTTATGTAGATATTTGCTTTGTAGAAAATTGCACTTCTAAATACACTACAATTAATACATGTTTTTAAGTTTTTTATACATTGGCAAAATTCATTACACCTTGCGTCAAAATTAAGTTTAGTACATAATTTCGCCAATCCATATATTACTTATTTTTAAAAGGATTTTTCTTACATAAAAATGTTGTTTACAAGAATAGTCATTTATTTTTATTTTAAAAAAATTAAAACTTATGTAAGATAACATTTCACATTTCACGCAACTCACACTATAAAAAAATATGTAAAATAAATAATATGTGTAAGAATTACATAATTTACAATGGTAGTGTGGCGTTCTTACAAAAATTACTTTACTTTTACAAAAACACTTTATTTTTAACTGTGTAATTATATCTTTATATTAACCAAAAAATTACTATAAAAACAATATCATATTATAATTTTTATACACATTGTACAAGTTTTTAATATGTATATATAACATAATGATAATATCATATATTTTATTTGTATTTTTACGTTTATATATCTTGATAACATATCTTTAAAAAGTTGAACATAAATTGTTAGCAAATTGTTACGTAAATATTTCCACAGATTTAATTTCAATGTAAATTTACTCTTGCAAATTATTTAATCAAGATTAAAAAATTATCAAATTTCAAGCTCAAAATTGCAAAATAATAATGGTTTAATCTCTTAATTTTTTTATTGTTTTTTACTATTTATTGGCTGAAAATGACTGATTGGAAGTAAAGTCAAAACGTGTTCCATACTCTGTATATTAGTGAAAATCTAGTTTTAAAATTTACTCCTTTGATGTTTTAATAAACTATACGGTTTTAAATTTTAATCTAATCATTTTTTTGTGTATTGATTCCTCTACCATTATTTTACTATAAAGAAGAATAATTTTATTTTTAAATTTAAGTATGTGTAAGTGTACATCTTTAAATATACATCATATTGCAAGCTCTACTAAGTGTTGTAATTTTACACATATAATTTCTTTATAGTTCTTACAAAGAAATAATGACCATGTTCGAAACTTGAAGATGTCTTCAAAATTTCTGGGTCAAATTCGAAGAATATCTGCATATACCCGTGCGGTGGGTGTTTGCCGGCATTAGAAAAAGTCTCGACTTTTTATAATGATCTTGTACCTTAATGATATTACGATCAGGATATTATTATACTATGAAGCGTTATTGGATTATTCAGAACTTTGGTGTAACACGTCGTAATCTTGTCTCGACGGGTCTCAACGGGTCTCGAACTTGAGAAAGCTAGCGTCACTAGCTTCTGATATCGCGTTATATGGAAATATCGCGATTCACGTTCCGCGCAATTCTTTTTCAGTGTTCGCGTGCTTTTTACTGTTTTTTTGCATCCTGACATACTTAGCTTTTCGTCGTGAAACTATAAATTTATTATCGATTCGAGAGCACGGACATTCTGTCGAATTTAATTGTAGTCAAGTGAAGATAGGTAGCCTTTAACTTTCGGATAAGTAAACTGAATTTGCACCCTGTAATGCACATAGTCTCTGAACTGTGTATTGCCCGAGTTCATGGGGCTCTTCGTAAATTACTATTTGAATTTCGAACACGTGTGTGTGTGTGTGTGTGTGTGTGTGTGTGTGTGTGTGTGTGTGTGTGTGTGTGTGTGTG